TCTAATATCACACTTTAAACCGAATCAATCTCATCATTATTTAAAGAAAAAAACAAGACACCTGGTTTTGTGAGTTTAACTCCAGCACGTGTCAGTCTTCAATATAAAGCTTCTGAAATTATATAAATAAACACTACAGTTCATACTCATTTAGAAGCCTTGCAAAACCTAAATGTTATTCGGTAGTCAGACAGCAGACCGAGGTTTCAAAGTATTGAAGCGTTGTGAACCTAAATGTTGTTCGACACTCAGAAGTTCAAAAACGTTGTAAATGTATAAAATAAACCGCATGATTATTCCCCATAATATGTCAATACGTACGGACATGACTTTCACTTTGTCTTACACTTTGGAATTCGCGCTTATGTTAAAAGCTCTTGTTCATATGATAACCTTAGAGCTTATATTAGCGTGTAATATGTGTAAATAAGTGAATGTGTTCCTGTTGTGTTTGATCGTATTCTTCAATCGTGCGCAACGTGCCATACACAACCACAAATTAAAATAGGACCATAATCTACATGTGTTAAATATATTCTTACCCCAATTAAACCTAAACGTAATCGAACAGCATCAAAAGAACGTTTTATTCATTCCTCGTGGAGGAATTGCCGTATCATGCGAGCAAAAGATAAGATTTCGTGCAGTGCACCACAACTCTTGCGGGACAAAACTTAACGTAGATAAATACGCTTGCATACATTCTTTAATGAGCGTCACATCCAGTCAAGTCCGAATGAGCACTTCACATTTCACTTTTCAAATACTAGTATATTTCGCGCCAAAACACACTTGCGGAACACTTGGGAATTGCGACAACGAAAAGTTCCGTCGCTCACGCCGAAGTATGTATTTTCACAAATAATGACATAGGGAAGAATGCAGTAGCATTTGAAAAATATTCAAAAAATATTTTTTAAATCAGTGAGCACCTGAAATTCTGAATCTTTGTCTAAAATTTCTATGTATGGATGTGATGTGTTCTGGCAAATTCTCGCAGTATTTTTCGGAAGCCTAAGAGTTTTTGTCTCAGAGAAAAATTTCCCTAGGGAAAATACGTTCCATTTCGTTAAACAAAAAATTCAGTTATATTGAGCAACCTTCAACCTCCAACCTTCAATTAGGGTCAACTTCCATATCATAGCTCTTGAAATGTCGAGAGAAGAGGTAATAAGTGAAGCAAAAAAAATTGGAATGGAGGTGGTTTATGACCCTACAGGAAAAAGAAACCTCTGCTTTTATGAATGCTTGGGTTATCATCTCAGTTTAGACAAATACGTTATAGTAGGAAAATAAGAAGAGTATATGCTTGATAATCAATTCCTGGATATAAGAAACAAGGTAAGATCGATATTTATATATAATACACAAGTGTATTCTTTGAGTTGCTTCACCCATGAAGATCTGTCAGTGGTCATAGTATTGTAAATTTTATCTCCAAGTCGTGCAAGGATAGAAAAACACCAGAAAATTTAGAGTTACACCAGGCACCTGGTGATTTGTCACAGAACAATGCGGAGTCCAAGGTTGTCCGTCATTTTGTCATGAAACGTCAACCTCCCCCAGTTTTGACAGCTTGTATCGTATTTTTGTTTCTTTAGAATGGCAATGTGGTTCAAACAGATATGAAAGATTATTTTTCCGGTGAAGACTTTCCAAATCATAATGAAAAACCCTCTCTCTTGGCGCGAGACAGTCTTGTCTCTCCGTAGGGAAATAGCAACACATCCGGTCATTGTTTTTGCAGCTCATCTATTTTCCCTCAAAATTAGTATATTGGATTGGCAGGGAGTAAGTACGCTGAATTAGGTTATAAAACTGGCTTATCCAAAACTCCCAAAAACCGAACTTATATTAAGAGACGGAATTTCGTCTAAGAAGGAAGACTCATCGGAGACGAGCAACTTGGCTCTTATTTAAAAATTCTCATTCCATTTGTTTCAGAGGATAACCAACGCAGATCCGGGGGTAGACGTTTTGAGGTCTATACCAAGCATGTTTCTGGGATACACTGGATGCCATTATATGGTTTTACGTCATACAAATGTGGACGTAAGTAATCAGTACAAAACGGTTTAATTAAATCGAGCAAATAAAGCTAAATGTCATAAAATTAATGTTGAAATATTTTTTTTAAATAGACCGTGATTTCGATATTGCATCTTATCTGACTGTTAGTATAGCATTCGTTTAAACGGATCTTTCTAAGGTTTTAATTTAGCTTGACATACATTGATTAACAATTTTTGTGTAACAGCTGACGTTGTCAGAGTCGGATCAGTCGTCCAGATGCTTGGATTCTTGTCCAGATTAACCCAAAACTCCAGATGTAGGTGATGAAATAATGGAGACCAATACAGTTCAACCTAACAGCTACGACGATATGATAACTCAGATACTTAGTAGTATCACCAATCAAAAAAGAAAAATGTTGTGTGAGTCAGGTATGTCCAATTCCCCATATTCCAGGTATATGTATTATATACAGTAAAGAGGGTCAATAATGCCCCCCCTTCTGTAATTAAACAATTTCAATTTTCTTTTCAGAATTGTTTCAATTATAAGCCTGCAATAAATGAAAATTTACAAAACCTGCAAAGGTAGGTAGACGTTTCGTGAAATGTATCAAGAACATTTATGCCATAAGAAAAATATGCAATAAATAAACTATGAGATAAGGATCAGATTAAAATCCATGCACAAGAGAGGTAACAATAATAGACAGTATATGACTGTATACATATATGTAACATTAACTTTCATCGTCACAGATACCTTGATACATCTACAAGCGAGGACGATGAAGACTACGAAATCCTGAAGTCAAGTAAAACAAAAAATCCGTGCGGTGCTGCTACGTGGACTGGAATTAAAGTGGAAAAAGTAGAAAAACTTCCTTATGACATAAATGGCAAAAAAGTTTTTCAGTTAAACACCAATAGTACTGAAAATAGAATGTCAGAACTTAAAGATGGAAGACGGTGGAAAAAGGATTCACAAACTAAGTGGAGTGGTTTTCACGAGGTAAGATATTCTGACTGCCTCGGTTCATACAAATGTATCAATCATGAATGTGATTTTAAAAAGGAATACAGCATTGTGAATAAAAGCCATTTCGACAAGAAAAACTTCTGCAACATTTGCAAGGCCCCCGCTAAACACGCACCTTGTCATGCTCGACGTTATGTGGCTTTCTCTAACACAAAAACCTGCGTCTATCATCTCGGCGAACATACCTGTTCTGTGAAATCTCTTGTTGGTAGACCGAAAGAGGAAGTAGAGAAGCAGCTACGGGAGAACCCAGATTTAACCCCTTCCCAAATTCAAAGTAATCTTATAATTTCTCAGATGAGACAAGGTAAACGAATAGTATTAAAACTGTTTTAGACTAAGCAATGTTAATCCAGAGACTTAATAGTCTCAGTTTAGATTTCTGTTCACGTCAAAGGGCCTGTTTATATGATCAAAAGCATATATCATAAGGCATTGAAACAAGTAGTATATAGTGCTGCAATGTTTTAGAAAGAGCTCACGAGAAAGCCAAGAAGGAATCTTATAATATCTTATAATCTAATAATATGCCATGCAACAATTAATAAACAGTAGTAATACAAAATCTCCCAACAAATTAAATAGAAACACTCGAAATTGTTTCATTTTCCAAAAATAAAACAACTCGAAAAACTTCAATATGCAGTATAGTTTTTTTCAGCTGAAACAAATATGAATTAAAAACTTGTTGCGTTGTAGGTGCCAAATGGGCGAACATAGAGAAAACCGCCCTAAGCGTAGTTGACAAAAAGTGGCTTTAAATGAGAAGCAAAAAATGAAAGCATGCAACGAGCCATATGGACACAACTTCGAAAAGTAAGTGGATCAAAAGATTATGTTTTCAATCCTTGTGGTTGGATTACGGACATGGCGGGATGTAACATGGAAGGATTAAAAGAGTTTTTGGTCTGGATGTCTGAAAACATGCGAATTTCACTTTAAGCAGTGCCAGAATCGCCAAGCCCGGAGATTCCAAGAAGAATCAAGGATACACTTTAAAAGTCTATGTGGAGCACTACTAGAAGCACAATCTCCAACTAGCTATGAGAAAACAAAGGAAGATTTGGATAACTTCATCGCGGAGGAGCCGGAACGAAAGAGTTTGAAGACTTGGTTAGAGTGGTGGGACAAGAGTCGGGCGTTCATTTTCCTGGCATTCCAGCGTACTAAAGGTGGTTCAAAGATGAATTTAGCCGAAGTCATCCACGCCAGCTGGGTGAAGCGGGACAAAATGAATATGTCTCTACTAGACACAGCCTACGCAGACGCTTGTGATAACATCCAGTTGGAAGTTGAATACCGAGGATTTAGTGAAGGCACTCTACGTGGAGGAACAGGTCCATCAGCAACAGATCTTAGGAAACGGTTGTTGACGGCTAAATTACCAAGAGGAAAAAATCTTGGTCAAGAGCTTCTACGTGACGATTTGCAAGAAGACGACTGGACCTCCACACAAAGCACATCAGCCTCCACAGAGCCATTTAGCACACCCCACGATCGCCATAATGCCAGCGTGATGAGCGGGGCCACAACCATCGAAAGAGCCAAGGCCAAATCGCTTCAAACCAGCACGAAGCAAATTATTTAGTGATCGATTTCAAAGGGCGAAGCAAGAAAAGAATTTGATAAAATAATATAGATATATATAGATATATATAGATATATATAGATACATATAGATATATATATAGATATATATAGATATATATAGATATATATAGATATATACAGATATATATAGATATATATAGATATATACTGTCCAAGTGTTTTGATCAACATAAACAATCTGTAGGCAATGCAAAATCCATCTGTGATTCTTTGGTCAAATGTCTTCATTGTGATCTTGTTGTAAAACGGAGTAGACGAGGCGTGATTTGCATCACTGCGGTGAAACTCGTTGCTCTACGTGCGATACCTATGTGCAAACTGAGAATCATCAATGCTATATGCAACCCGTAAGAGCGAGAAACACCAGAGACATAAACGAGGCAGCGAGCCTTCTCGATGCAGAGGCAAGCGATGAAGACAACTCGCCTCAAAGCGGGTACAATGAACTTTTATTCTTTGACTTTGAGTGTCAACAAGAAAATGGAAACCACGAACCCAACTTATGCGTAGTACAAAACGAGGCGGGCGACGAATGCATATTTAAAGGGGATAATACACGAAATGAGTTTTGCGAATGGTTATTTACCAAGGAACATGCAAACTGTATTGTGATGGCCCATAATTTTCAAGGTTACGATGGTTACTTCATTCAACAATTTCTACACGAGAACGGTGTGATTTTTGATATCATCATGCGTGGTGCCAAAATTCTTACATTATGTGTCCCAATGTTCAAGATTAAATTTATCGACTCTTTGAGTTTCATACCCATGAGACTTGCTGATTTTCCGAAAACATTTGGTATCAATGAGCTTGCAAAAGGTTATTTTCCACATCTTTTCAACAAAAAGGAGAGTGAGAATTACGTTGGACCTATTCCACCAAGTCCATTTTACCATCCTGATGGAATGAGTCCTGATGAAAAAGAAAAGTTTCTGGAATGGCACAGCAATTTGAAAGAAAGCGATTATGTGTTCAATTTCCAACAAGAGACTCTAACGTACTGTCGTTCAGATGTTGATATTCTACATCGTTGTTGCCTTGAATTTCGCGAACTGTTTCGTGATGTCACAGATATCGACCCGTTTGAGAAATGTCTTACCATTGCATCAGCCTGCAATTTGGTGTTTCGAAAGAATTTTTTGAAAGAGAACACCATTGCAATCATCCCTCCTCACGGTTATCGCCCGAAAGACAAGCAGTCAATTCTAGCTCTAAAATGGCTGACCTTTACTGCTGAAAAGAACGACATTTACATTCAACATGCCCGCAACGCGGGTGAGACACGTGTTGGCAATTATTTGTTGGACGGTTATCACGAAGAGACGAACACAGCTTACGGAATCAATGGTTGCTTTTGGCATGGTAAGTTTTTAAACATTTCTCTTTTTTTTTTCTTTCTTTAATATTTTTTATTCAATCTTTCCAGGGTGCTTGAAATGCTATGCCAGAGATACGGTGAACAGTGTTAGTGGTAAAACTATGCATGACCTGCATCAAGCTACAATGGAGAAGACGTGTCACCTCAAAGATCAGGGCTTCAAAGTTGTCGAAGTGTGGGAGTGTGACATCAAGCGAGAATTAGAATGCGACGAAAATATGAGGAATTACTTTGACAGTTACGACCTAGTTGATCCTTTGGAACCTCGCGATGCCTTCTTTGGTGGTCGAACCAACGCTGCTAAATTATTTCACAAATGCAAAGATGGTGAAAAGATAAGGTAAAGTGTCAATCTTAGAGTAAGGTACAGCATTATCATATAATTTCAGATTATGCAAGACCCGTAGGGTTGAAGTATAAGATGAATTGTACGAATAAATGGAGACGAATATAACAATGCTATCGCCTGTATTCTAAAAGCTCACTCACACTCAAACTCATTGAGTGGGAGATCTTAATCTTCTCATAACGTTTCAATGGCGGTATTTCCAGCCGAACAGGGGCTTGATTTTCAGTAATTTACCTTTTATCTTTCCATCTATTCAGAAAAAACTTTCTCATTGATCAGCATTAACGAAATTTATATGTCACACTCGATGAGTATGAGTGTGAGTGAGCTTTTTGAATACAGGCGTATATCTTTATTACTTCACTCAAAATACAGCGAATTTAAAGTAACTACAGGGTGTCTCAAAAAGAACGCAACCACTTAAATATGCAAGAATATTTATATTGTTCGGGTTTGCACCATAGTTCAGCTAAAATGACTTTTAGCATTTTAAATGAAGGATTATGAGCCATTTCAATGCCCAGAGTTGCTTATCTATTGCGCTTTAGAGCTGTATTAATGTCTTGCATATTTAAGTGGTTGCGTTTTTTTTGAGACACCCTGTGTAACAAAATAATATAAAGACTGGGTTCCACTGTCTAACCCCTGATAAACACCACGTCCGCCCCGCATACTTCGTCTTTTAGCTGAGCGAATCTAAAAAGAAATAAAATACAAACAACATAATAACAACGGGTGGTGAGGGGGGGAGCATTGTTATATTCGTCTCCATTTATTTGTACAATTCATCTTATACTTCAACCCTACGGGTCTTGCATAATCTGAAATTGTACTTCATAAAGTGTCGCCTCATATAACAATGCTAGTTCAAAGCCTAATCTTTAGAAACATTAAGAACAGCCCTGCCAAATGTTGGATTACTGACAGGTTTGTAATAAAAGCGACGGAAGGTGGTATCACTTGACCAGTCAGCCATTTTCATGATATCACTGACAGATAAGCCTGCTCTAGCGGCTGTTGAAGACGAAGCTCCTCTTGTAGAATGAGCTTTAAACGTATCAGAATCTATACCTGCGTCTTGGAGGAAGTTTCTGATCCGACGTGCTAGAGTCGAGGAAGAGACCGGGCTATGTGGCTTAATAACGGATAGAAATAATTTATTCGGCAGTGCTGGATCTGATGCCCTAAAAGACGATGTTGACATCTCATATGCCTTTAAGCATTCACAGGGACACAATTGCTTGTCATTTGGGAAACTAGCATGAAATGAGGTTTTTAGGGATTTACCTACACGGATTGACTTAGTTACAATTGGAAGTTTAAATTCCACTCCTTCTGGGTAAAAGGTTCGATACCGAAGATCATGTCCGGCTAATTCTGAACCTCTCTCTGCAGATGTTAGGGCAAACAAAACAACCAGTTTTTCCGAGAGTTGCTTCCTTGTCAATGAAACATTATCCCCTAAAGACTTCATGTAAACAAGCACTTTTGACACATCCCAAGTAGTTGTATACCTTGGAAGGGGTGGTTTTTTGTGAAAAATGCCCTTCATGACCTGACATACAAGGGGGTGTTGTCCTATATTAACACCCTCAATTTTTGGGAGAGTCATGGAAATAGCTGAACGATAAACATTAATGGTGCGATACTCTTTGCCAATCTCAAATTGGTTAGCCAAAAAATTGATTACTTGTTGCACAGAGGCTGAAAAGGCATCAATTTCTTGTTGATTACACCAGCTACTCCACAAGTTCCAGGCTGACTGGTATGACTTAGAGGTCTGGTTGCGCCAAGCGGAGACAAGCAGGTCTTGAGCTTGTTTTGAAACTCCCATTGACAAGTACTGTTTGCTGAGATAAGCCACCCGGCTAGTTGGAGATGGGCAATGGGGTGAGGCATTTCCCCTTTGTTCAGAACCCATGCTCCCTTGGGAAACAAGCATGGGAAATCCACACTCATCTCGAGAAGTATTGGGTACCATGGTTGGGTTTCCCACACTGGTGTTACTAGGCACAACCGGGGAACTTTTTGTGAATTGACTTACGACAGACACCGTCCCACTAGATTGAAAGGGGGGAACGCATACCCTTTTACTATTGACCAGTCTATTGAAAATGCATCTGTCGCCTCGGCTTCTGGATCTGGCCGCCAACTGACAAACCTTGGTAATTGGTTTGTTAACCTGGTGGCAAAAAGATCTATGTCTAAGGGCCCTCATAGTCTGTTCAGGGTGGCAAAGATGATTGGATTCAGTTTCCAATCTGCTGCATCTCTGTCGACCCTGGATTCGTGGTCTGCTGAAGTGTTGAGAACCCCTGGAATGTGATGCGCACTGAGATGTATATTTTTCTGAAGACACCACTGCCATATCTCGTAAACTAGACTTGCTAAAACTGGGGAGGGTTGAGGGCCCGCCCATTTTGTTGATGTAAGTGATGGCAGTTGTGTTGTCCATCAGTAATTTTACCTGTATCGAGGCTTTGTTTTTGCAAAATGACTTCACTGCAAACCCCCCTGCCATGAGTTTGAGGCAATTGATGTGTTGGAAACGTTCTTGTTGTGACCAAACTCCCCCGGTCAACATTCCGCTGCAAGCTCCCCCCAACCCAGGTTTGAGGCATCTGTCTCTATGGTGAGATCTTCTTTTCTTTTCAGTAGGGATTTCCCATTCCAGGCTGCTAGATGGTCTTTCCACCAGTGTAGCTCTTCTTGAGCTGCCTGGTTTAAAGACACCATGACTTCGTAGCTTTGAGACTGTCTCAGAGCTATGTTTTTTGCTCGAAGGAGAGACTGGTAGTGGAGAGGGGCAGGAAATATTGCTTGAATAGAGGCCGACAGTTTTCCTATGAGGCGTGATAGGGTTCTGACTGACACATATGGATTGTTTAGTATTCTGTGGCAGTCTTTCATTATTCCCTTGATCTTGTCCTTGGGGAGGGCTAGGGACATTGACTTGGAGTTTACCTGAAATCCCAGAAATTCTAGTTCCTGACTGGGTTCTGTCACTGACTTGGCATAATTTACTATGAACCCTAGACTTGTCAGTAATCTGACTGACAACTGAGTATGTTCTCGGCAAAGGTTTTTGGGTTCTGCCATTATCAGGATATCGTCTAGGTAAATTATCAGTCTTACTCCCATCCTCCTTAACTGGGCTACCACTGGTTTGAGAATTTTTGTAAATGTCCGAGGGGCACTTGCCAATCCGAAGGGAAGACATGCAAACTCCCAAAGAGTGTCTTTCCACAGAAAACGAAGGAATTTTTTGTGTTTGTGCCAAATTGGAACTGTGAGATAGGCATCTTTTAGGTCTATTTTTGTCATAAAATCGTTGGGTTTTAATAGGTCTTTTAGCATTGTCACTCCTTCCATTTTGAAGTGTTGATACTCTACAAAGTAATTCAGGTCCTTGAGGTTTATGACTGGTCTGTGCCCCCCTCCCTTTTTGGGGACAGTGAATAAGGGGCTTATGAACTGAGTTTCGGTTTGAATATTGGAGTTTTGGACCTTGTAAATTGCATGTTTTTCGAACAAAGCTTGCACTTCCTCGCTTATCACTGAGCTTTGTGCTGGAGTGATTTGCATTTTTGAAATAGAGGTTTGTTTGGGTGTTGTGACAAACTCGATTTTGTAACCTTGTATTGTTTCTAAAACCCATGGGTCGGTTGTTAATTTTTCCCAGTTTTGGTAAAAGTGAAGAAGCCTTCCCTCTAGAGGGAATTGGGTATTGTTGTCGATATTTGAAAACATACCTGTTGCTAATGGAAGATTGTTCAGTTTTGCTGAGGTGGTTGGCTGAAAGTCGCACTTGATCTCCCCCTTGCACGATAAGGCCTCCTGAAGGACTGGCTTCTGAACTGAAAGTTCCTGCGGAAGTTGCTTGCACCCCCCCCCTCGCTGCCAGGACCGTGTTGAGGGGGTGCCCGTAGAAAAAACCCTTTGCCTCGAGGTGCAAAGGTTGCAGATGAAATTGCTTTTGCTGTTTCTGTTCGTTGCTTCAGACGAAGTTCAAATTTTTCACCAAACAGGTCTTTGCCAGTTATCCCATGACTCCTGAGACAATGAGGTGTATTTCTGGCCCACTTTACTAAGTACTTGGGTCCAACGTTTGCTAGAAAGATGGTTACTAGCATTGCCAAGGAGCTGGAGAGATTTTGCCAAGTATTTCAATACTATACCAACACTCACTTCAGAGTTTCCATCTCTGGCCTGAATTAAAGTTTCATAGGCCATTGCTACTGACCAACAACGTCTAGAACAAGGTCCTGGGTCTTCCGTAGCGATTTATCTTCCACTTTGCACTTAGGTAAAAGGTCAGGAAGAAATTTATCTAGTAATGGTGTGTACACGCTGTCCACATTTGGGCGAGGACATGAGCGAACCACTTGACGTTTATCATAGCCAGATAACTGTTTGCCGAAACAAGTATTAAGTAAAGCTGACAGTTCATCAGACGCTGGCCATCGCTCGGACACCGACGCCAGCGTGTCATCTTCGGGTTCTGGCGCGAAAATATCATCGTTCTCATCTACGAGCGAGTTTTCTTGTTCAGTTGTTTCAGCATTTACGTTCTCATCTAGGTCCACCCGTATTATTTTCTTGGTGGTTCACCTGTTTTGCCGGTTGGTAACCCAGAGGCGCAGCTGGGAGTAGAAGAACGTTTTGGTAACCCAGAGTTCAAGCTGGGTGAAGCAATTCCTTTTGGTGAACCGGAGGACATACCGGTCAACTGTTCGTCAGCATTGTCGGGATCACTTGACTCGTTAAACGAGCTTTTAACACTCTCTACTAATTTAGGAAGTATCCGTTAGAGCGGTGATAAACTCAGTGCTTTGCAGCACTGAAGAGATCGATTTACCTGAGATTTCTCCTGAGTTAGGACCTTTTTCTTCGGCAGCTGAGTCAGCCATAACTTCTTTCCTCGTGAGCGAAGCAAAAAGACGAAGTATGCGGGGCGGACGTGGTGTTTATCAGGGGTTAGACAGTGGAACCCAGTCTTTATATTATTTTGTTATAGTTACTTTAAATTCGCTGTATTTTGAGTGAAGTAATAAAGATATAGCATTGTTATATGAGGCGACACTTTATGAAGTACAATTAATTATGACGTCATAGGTATGTAGATTTCACTAGCCTATATCCCTGGGCAAATAAGATGACGCGAACAGTCGTCGGCCACCCTTATATCATCACAGAAAATTTCGACGAAGACATCTCAAACTACTTTGGGTTGATCAAGTGTAAGGTTCTGCCACCTCGAGGGCTCTTCCACCCTGTCCTACCTTATCGTACACAGGGAAAGTTGATGTTTCCCTTATGTAAATCGTGTGCTGATACGTGTAACCAAACCCCATGTACCCATTCCGACTCCGAAAGAGCCATTCAAGGAACATGGTGCAGTGTAGAGCTGGAAAAAGCGTTGCAGAAAGGTTATGTAATCCAGAAGGTTCACGAAGTGTGGCATTTTCCACAACAATCTGATGAGTTGTTTAAAGATTACATCAATACGTTTCTGAAAATCAAACAGGAAACGAGTGGTTACCCGAAGAATTGCAGGACAGAGGAGCAGAAACTCGGCTACGTCGAGGAGTACTTCGAACGAGAAGGAATCCTTTTTGGATTTTGAGCAAGAGTTAATTTGTGTTCTGGAAAAGATGGTAGGATACTGTTCAGTTGCTTGGTGTTTTAAAATATGCAGTAATATACTAAAATGCCAATAAGATATAAGCATGTGTCTGATGTCATATTTCAATTATTTATTTCAGATAGAAAAGGATGCTACACTCACAGACAGTACAATCAATGTGAAAATCGGTGGTCATGGTGCCAAAATGACGAGATTGACTAATTTTGTCATCATAAGCTTCTCCATTCTTAATGAAGAGGAAACAGTAATGTCATCAAAAAGGTACTAAGTCCATTGTTTAGGGTAATTAATTTAATCTTACATGTACACCCGATACAATAAAAACAGTATTAAAGCAGTATATTGATGGTAAATGAAAGCTCAAAATGATGTACACCAATCTGGGAAAACTTTTTGCATCCACTGTGATATTTAGTTGAGCGTGATAAAAGTCGAGCAGGGGGATAACAAATGTGAGGTATAATGACTAATAAGTGTGACATAATTGCTGCACACTATTCTTAACGTACTCGGCCCATTCTTACACGCGACCTATATATTGTTGAAATCTCGATTTGTGTCTGTTAACATTTCGGGGGGGGGGGGTTTACGGAATGAGGGGGAGCGACTGTCCAAGCAAGATTTTGTGCCCGTATGTTTCATTCCATGTTTGTGCTTATTCCAAGTCGGAAGTCTGAATAGAAGAAAAGATTTAAGAAACTGATTGAAAATAAAGTGAAAAAAACGATATGGCTAATTTACATATTGCTGGTAATTTTCATCAAGGCAGTGAACATTTTAGTGTTCAATCTAGAGGTAAGCAATGTGCTTTTATGAGTTTATCGGCAGTTTTAACAGCCGAAAATATCCCAATTTTAGATTGGTCTATAATAACTTTAAATAATGTCTTATTGCAAGGTGACAAAATGTATTTAAAAGCTCTGAATAGTGGCATAATTGTTCTAGACCCAGGTATCGAATTTTTGTCTGTAGATAACTTACCAAAGTTGTTAGTGTTTCATGTTGTGGGAGCATGTTTTAGTATGAAATCGAACTGCCCATGGTGGTAGCAGAAGATATTAATTTACTCATTGTGGTGGAGCCATTTAAGGCACACAATAACAATCAACTACCTATGAGGGTAGAACACAATAAACTACCCATGGTGGTAGAAAACACTGAGCTACCCATTGTGGTAGAAAACACTAAGCTACCCATGGTGGTAGAAAAATATGAACTACCCATTGTGGTAGAAAACACTGACCTATCCATGGTGGTAGAAAACACTGATCTACCCGTGGTGGTAGAAAACACTGATCTACCCGTGGTGGTAGAATCTATGGATAAAAACCTTATTTGGTTTATAAATTATGAACAGGAGCTTCAGGGTCTTGTAATAACTGACAATGTTGAGTCTCACTACTATACTATTCATTCAGCACTTTTGAATACATTCATGGGTCATAGTTCTGCTATTTTCATATTAGAAGGCTATATGATGGCAATAATAAAACAATCAAACTTTTTCTATATATTTGATTCTCATGCCAGAGACAGAAATGGCATGCCCGATCCTAATGGCACTGCAGTTGTCATAAAGTTTGCTAATATTCTAGATTTGGAACAATTTTTGTATTCTCTTTCGACAAAACTACATGTCAATTTATTTGAAATAGTACCTGTGTATGTAACAAAAACTAATGTAAGCCCAAGCAATGCTGATGATTGTAGAAAAAGAAATCAGGCTCAAAAAAGTGAGTGAGTCTATGAAAAGAAAGCGGTCAGAGGAAACTGACAGTGCTAAATAGATCAGACTAGAGAAGGATAGACAATCTAAAAAATAAAAGCATGCAAAAAAAGTGTCACAGCTTGCACATGAAATTAATCAACAAGATTATTTAAATATGTTTGACGCCACAAAGAATGGTGGTATTGAAGAGCAGTTGTGGGCTAAATCTAATCTGAGCAAGTTTCATAAGTCTCTGCAATATACTGTCAGTCAATGTACAATTTGTCAGGAGGCATGGCCCCTGAAATCTAAACCAAGGTCACCTTATATGTGTGTTCAAGATGCTCCAGAGATAAAAAGTATCCTAGAAAATTTTCATCTGAAAATTCCAAGATACCTTCATCTGTCCCAGATGAACTGAGAGACTTGACTCAAGTTGAGGAAATGTTAATTGCTCGTGCTTTGCCAATCATGAGAGTGTATATCAAACCTGGTGGTCAACGTGGGTATTCAGGGCATTGTATTAACTTGCCTCAAAATGTCACAGAACTTGCAAAATCTTTGCCAAGATATCCTAAGGATTTGGCAGTAATTATTGTCAAAGTTAAAGGAAAGGACAACACATTTAAAGATGTCAGAGTAAGAAAACAAAAAGTCTACAATGCTTTAGTTTGGCTAAAGAATAATAATCTACATTATTCTGAAATATTAATTAATGATCATGCATTGCTTTCATTGCCTGAAAATGGTGTACCACCAGAGCTTATGACTGTTGAGACTAATGATGATATTGTCTCAGATGAGGAATGTTCTCCAGATATGGGTCCCCCAACTGATAATCCTTTTGAGGATATTGTTTACAATGAGTCCACAGAGATGAGTAGTTTTTTACCTGTTGGTGAACAACAGCAACAGGAAATTGAAGCTGTTAGAAATAAGCTCTGTGAAAATGAGCCAATGTCCTGGCCTACAGTTGAAAATGAACCAATAAATGAGTATCAGGTGTCTCATTTAGCTACAATGGCTTTCCCAACATTATTTCCCGATGGAAAAGGTGATTGTACAAATCAAGAACTTTTGAGAGATGTTTCTTTTCAGGAACGAGTAAAGCACCTTCTAAAGTTTGCTGAAATTATTGATGGTAAATGGGTATACCGTTTTGCAAACCATCCCAGATTTTCATATTGGGTTTTCAATATGATTCAAAGAAAACGAATATTGCAACAAAGTGGAATATTTCTAAAACAAAATCCAGGTGAAGCACATCTCACCATAGACGAACTGCGCGAAATGGCTGCGAGTAACAGTGCTAATGTTTTCATGTCTAAAGTTTCTAGATATGTTGGAAATATTGTGGGTACAAATGCTTACTGGAACAGAGTTCGAGAGGAACTTAAAGCCATAATTACAAATGTTGGAGCACCAACATTATTTTTTACTTTTTCCTCTGCAGATATGCATTGACCTGAGTTGCATACATTATTCAGTGCTAATGGTGACTGTGGAAATTCTAATATACCTGGTGAATTAAGGCGGCAAAATGTCATTAACAATCCTCATCTTGTGGATTGGTTTTTCACACAAAGACTAGAAAGCTTTGTTAAACACTGGCTTTATGATACACTTGGTGCAAAGTGGCACTGGTTCAGATACGAGTATCAAGGTAGAGGTAGTATCCATTGTCATGGTACTGCTAAATTAAATAATGACCCAGGTTTGTGTCAATTAACACAGACTGCTTTGAAAGGTTTCTTAGCAGAAAAATTTAAAGATGAAAATGATTGCTTTGACACAACAGAACTAGACCAGGATATTGAAGCTGGTCAGAAAGCTGCTGAGACAGTATGTCAGTATGTTGATTGGTTGTTATCAACTGTTAATCCAAATCCACCAGATGCAGACATGTGGATAAGACCTGAGGTTCATCCATGTCAACGACCTCATAAAGACATCCCTGAACATGAAAAACAGTCAGATTATGTAGATCTTTTAAACATGGTTCAAAGACACACTCGTTGTAGTACAAGTTATTGTCTTAGAAAAAAGTCAAATGAAACAGATTTGAAATGTCGATTTCATTTTCCCTATGAGCATTGTGCAAGGACAAAGCTAGAATTTGAAAAAATTCACACTAAAGATAATGATAATCATTATAGAGTTAAAGTCGTTACTCAATGAAATGATGCCAGGTTAATCATCAACAACTTCAACTCCAAGGATGGAGAGCCAATTGCGATATTCAAGTTGTCATTGATCACTATGCTTGTGTTGAGTATCTGACAAAATATGCTGCTAAGGGTGAACCAAGATCGCCCTTATTAAACCAAGCATTCAATTCTGTTGTTCAAAATGTAGATATTAATAGCGAGGCTCGTCGAGCTATTAAAAAAATAGTTATGAAGACTCTCGGTGAAAGGGATTATGCAGCGCAAGAGACAATGCATCATTTATTGTCATTAAAACTTCATAGCTCTTCATTTAATGTGATTCCAATAAGTTTAAATGGTTCACGTAAAGTGCGTGAAAATGTTGAAGAAGGTGAATCATGCACTAATCATTCACTTCTTGACGTATATGCTAATCGTCATGAATATGATAGTTCACAAGATGTAATGAACATGAACTTCGTCCAATTTGCTACGACGTACAAAGTTGTAAACAATCAACTGGCAAAATTGCCAGAGAATGTTATACCACGAATATTTCCTACATATTCTCCAAATCCAAAAGGTCAAAATTTTGGTCTTTATTGCAAATACCAACTTTTGAGGTATAAACCTTGGAGAAGATCTCAGAATAACACATGGGGTGATCAAGAGGACCTTACTGACGAGACTTTTATCAACGCTTGGCAAAGAATTCTTGCAAACACCATATGGACAACAGAATGTCCCTGATTGGTTTGACAAGTTACAAGCTGTTATTCAAAGTGAAGAATCAGAAGCTGAATCTTTTGAACAACCAGAAACAACTCGAGAGGAGTGGATGATTATATCAGATCTTCATACACCGTTTGACACAACACAAGAAACGCCAGAGTCAGGATATGACTGGCACATTGACAGAGGTAATTACTCTGAACAAAAAATCCATGAAATGCCTTCATGGTTAAAAACAAACAAGGAAGAATTTACTATGGATGAGCAATATGATGATGTTGATATTGACACTTTTAGTGAAATGCAAAAACTTGCTTACGACATTGTCAAATCTCATTTTAATGATTCATCAGATAAAGAGTCATTGTGTTTGATTATAAATGGCGTAGCAGGAACTGGTAAGAGTTATCTTATCAATGGAATTCGAAATTTGTTAAAAAACAAGTGCGCTATTACTGCTGCAACTGGGAAAGCAGCGTATAATATACGAGGAATAACTGTTCACGAGGTAAAAAAGATCTAACAGGGCAAAGCTTGTGTCGATTGCAGGAGAATTTGACTGATATTGATTACATCATCATTGATGAGTATTCTATGCTTGGCCAAGTTACTTTTGGTTGGATAGACAAACGTTGCAAACAAGCAACTGGTTGTTACGACAAAGTATTTGGAGGAGACTCGTTAATTTTAACTGGCGATCCAGGTCAGTTACCACCAGTGGCAGATAAACCTCTTTATCATGCCAAACCATCAAGCGCTGTTGGTGAACAAGGTTTTCAAGCATATCAAATGTTTGACAAAGTTGTTAAACTCACGGTAAATCAACGAGTACAAGGTATGACATCTGAACAAATCCGTTTCAGGGAGTTATTGTTTCGACTTCGCAAAGGCGAATCAACAATTGATGATTGGAAATTACTTCTTACCCGTCAACCATCGAAAGTCGCAAATATACAAGAATTTGAAGATGCTACTAGACTTTTTTATAGCAATGAACAAGTTGCCAACTACAATCATGAGCAACTGTTAAGACTTATGCATCCAATTGCCCGTATCAACGCTCGTCATTCATCAGAAATGGCAAAAAAGATTTCATCTGAAGACATGTCAGGATTGGAACCAGTTATTTTTCTGGCGAAAGGTGCCAGAGTCATGCTAACTATGAATTTGTGGTCATGTGTTGGGCTTTGTAATGGAGCTACGGGAACAGTTGTTGATCTTATTTTCCAGAACAACCATCAACCACCTGACTTGCCTATTGCGGTCGTTATTGATTTTGAAAACTATAGAGGTCCTGTTTTTAACCCGACCAAGTCATGTTGTGTTGCAATATGTCCAATCACAGTTTCGTCACAGTCTGAGATCGGTTTTCATGAGCGGCAACAGCTGCCTCTAAGACTGGCCTGGGCCTTAACAATACACAAGAGCCAAGGACTAACTCTTCCAAAAGCTTGGATAGATATCGGCAAATCTGAAAGAACTGCTGGAGTCTCATACGTTGCCATAAGCAGAGTGAAGTCGCTTTCATCCTGTGTCATTGAACCCATGACATATGAACGATTAACAACCTTGAAATCATCAGCTAATTTACGTTACAGGCTTGAAGAAGAAAACCGCCTAGATCGTGCAGCACAGACTACTTATAGCAACACATTTTAGATAGACAAGCTACGGAGTTTGCAATTAGACGTGGGATTCTCTTATAAATCCCATTAAGCTTAATTCTATGTTTACATTATTTTTTACCTTAAATAAATTGCAAATTATTTAATAAATACGTATCACACTCTCACTGCATGTATGTATTATAATAAGATCATCAACTTGTTATATGGTAAGTTTATTTTTATTTTCTTTACGTTTCTATCTCTACTTTATCTTAATGGTATCCCAATGGGCTGTTGTAGCGTATTCTAAAACATTCTCTCGTTCTGTATGTAGATTACTGCTTCTGGTTAAAGATATGAAACAGCAACTATATTAGCAAACCGACCAAGGCGTAACTGGGCCCTAATCATTACCACGAATATTAACGTCATGAAGGAATGGATTACAGTCAATGATGAAAACAACTTACATCTGCCAAACAACTATGATGTTGCACTAATCGTTTTATTGGAACAAAAAGAAACGTGATTTTGCCTGGTATAGTAGTCGTGAAATTGTAAAAGAACAGGCTGGAGTCTCCGAACAGGCTATATACACATCTAAATCAAATTCATCAAGCCTCGTGGTTTAGTTCCAAAAACGTCATTTAACTTGTTTCTGAAATTGATCTGCCACAGAAGCATTCCTCATTCTCAAGCACCTAGCTCAGGTATTTATCGAAGAGACTTTCAGTATTCAATACAACAATTGCCAATTTCCAAAAGAGGTTCATCAAGTAAATGAAGTCATGAAAAACCAGTGTATATTAGGATCAGTATATGGCGATACATTTTAGTAATACACTAAAAGTGAACTTGAAGAGAAATGTATAAATTGATGTATAGATTATTGTCTTGTGGTGTATGTCTGTGATTTGTAATGCTATACTGTGAAATTGTTTTAATATGTGGTATCGTGTAAAAACCGAATTCAATAATTGTCAAAAGGATTATACCGACACATTTCAGTAATACACTAAATGTGAACAATCGTGAATTGAACTTCTGACAAAGTACATACATACAGTGTTATTTGTGAGGTAAATTGATGTACTTATAATTAGTGTCTTCTATTGTGTGTGATTTGTAATTCTGCTGTAAAATTGTTGAAATATGTAATATAACGTGAAAACTGTATTAAATAACTGTCAAAATTTGTTGTCTTATATATACCTCATTGGTAGATGTGGTATGACGTCTAATATGACGTCTTGAAACGTCATACCACATCTACCAATGAGCTTGCTTGATATTAATAAGATAAAATGTTGCTGCGGCGTGGTCGATTATCATTTATAAAACTCAAAAAAATGGCTGATGGACGAGAAGATGTTTCAAGTTCCCAGTCCAAACAAGGTATCGAATACTTAATAAAATAGGTAACAAATAGTAGAAATAACGTTAACGTTCCTTTTAGGCCACTAAGAGATAATATGTTAAAAAGTCATGACAAAGTCCAGAAAAGCTTTCAGGTTTTATGGATTGAATATGATCTCTACTTCATATTAAAATATATTTTCCACTGATGATCTCTACTTTATATTAAAATATATTTTCCACTAGAACCTTCCGAAATCACATGCTATATACATTCCGTGTCGCCCATAAAAAAAATCGGTACTTCCACATATTTTAACTGCTCCCTCCAAACGGAATCCGAGATGATCAACAGCGTCTGTTTCGACTGAAAAACGTCCAGAGAAAAACGAAAGTTTAGCTGCCTTTTCGAAACAAAAGTCTCCCGTAAAGATCAAAAGATTTTCCATCAACAGAAAATACGGCAGAGATGATATAGTGATAAATAAAAATACAGCAATAGTACCCACAACAGCCTCCTTTACCCCTTCGCCAGCTGAGAAAGACGATGCCATCACATTACATTGCTTAAAGCAATTGCGCCCTGAGCAATTGGTGTGCATTAAGGGCAAAGTCATCAAGTTGTCGTCCACAAAAATGGTTGTACTACAAGGATCTAATGTCAAAAAGCAAGAGGGGTACATTGTGGATCCCACCGGCTATAGCAAGATAATTTTCTGGGGCAGTCACACTAATAGCACTGAAGAAAATTCAACCTACGTTTTCAACAAAGTTCGAGTAAAAGTTTACCAAAACCAAACCTACTTAAACACACCGAAACAGGAAGATGAATGTGTCATCACATCATGTGATCCATTTCCACAACCTGTCCATCCAATTGAAGATCAGGAAACCACAAGACAAGCAGTTGGTAGTTTCTGGGAGTGTTCTCCATTAGCAAGTACAAGTCCTGTTGTATGTGTTCCAAAAAGGTGGTTGAAAAACCAAACATATCTTACTGTGAACACTGCAAGTTATCCCAAAAAACTAGTAAATGTATTACTAATTGGATTCTCAAAGTATATTTTGAATCCTCTAATCAACCAAAAGAAAAGTTGCGTTTAGTTATCTACAATGATGTTGCAACCAAATTGTTTAGCCTTTGCAACCTAGAAGCTGAACCATCAAGTGATGAAGTAATGCATAGTGTATTGCAGATGTCAGAGGTCAAAGTATTTTTTGACATACAAAGCAATAAGCTAATTGACATTGAACTTTTAAAAGTTTAAAAGTACATTTGGTTCACTCTTCAAAACATTTATATTATACACTTTATAACTTACTTTTATGTTGAATTTGTTGTACTGACAGTTATAAACAGTACAGTAATAAACAGTGCAGAATAGTACAGTGATAAGATTTTAAAAAACACTTAGGGGCTGTTTACATGAGCGCAGTTACCCAAGATTCAACAAAGCGTGAGAGGACTTTGAGGTATTGAAATAAGTCTTTAAGACAGCAAACAAGCACATGCTATTGTTGTGGTCATTATACGACTGCCAGGATGATGTTTTCTGCTCATTTCAATACCTCAGAATCATCTCATGCTTCGTTGAATCTTGAGTACCTAGCCCTTTAGTCAGATGCTAACAGATTTTTTGACATAGAAATTGATTGATATTCAACTTTTTACTCACTGATCAAAACATTTGTATTATGATTACTATCCACTTTATTATTGTTTATTCTTATAAAAGGTTTTATGTTAATATGAAAAATGATAAATATTTAAAAAAAAAACATTCCAAAAAAAAATCTTTGTGTTAGAGTTTACTTTAAGCATTTTAATAACAAAGCCACACTGTGCATCCCCCTGGAAAAAATCGCACCTCAGAAAAGTAAAAGGTCAGGGATAAGGTAATTCAAAAAATACACTAACGTTGTCAAAGATAAGAATTGGGAATTGAGGTTGAATTAGTGATTATAAAATATCAGTAGAGATATGAAAAAATATTTATGATTCTCAATATTTCATAGAAGAAAATAAAACACTACCTGCCAAGTTAACTATACCTAAAGGTCCAAAATGTTTATGATCGCATTTCATAGAGTCAAAATCTGAGTTGATTTGGGAACCCCAAAACAAAATGTGAAAATCCATCTCTACCAGTATTGTGGCTGGAATGACTTGCATGTTATGTTATTTGAAAAAAAAAACTCTGTCAGTCTGTACCTACTTTATAATCCTCACGGATATTTTTGTTCCGTCTCTAATACTGAAATATGTTTTCTAGTTCTAATTTTATTCCTCGTTACTATAAACCACCGCGTAATGAAACAATGCCTAATTCTTATATGCGCCGAATCGGTAATAACGTGCGTCAAAACACTCTTTGGCAGCACTTCCTTGCGGTAGTAACTCCTAGTAATGAAATTATGGGTGACATAGTATTGGAATTTTTTGGTTTATTTGGAAAAAGATTATATGTTAATTTTCAAAAGGTTAGGGGTGAGAAAAAATGTTCATATTATTTTGTAAATTATTGGTCCGGAGTTTTATTTGAAATTTTTCACGCTGTTCCCAATTGATTAAAATCATTTGTGTTAACGCCGACATTGCCCCCTGCCCTGTACGCCTTACCCTCTCTCAGACGTCCCCGGTACCAGTAATAGATTGATATTTTCTTCAAGTTAATGTATATTCATTTACTGTTTACTATACAATATACAGGGAATCACACAATTGCTGTCATCAATGGCCATGAAGACTATGACCTTTTGAAAGTCTCTTGTTCAAAAATATTTGACTGCATTAACAAACTGGCAAGAAAAGGAACACTTAAAGTTAAAAACAAAGATGTTAATATTGAACTGTTTCTTGGAGGTGATTACAAGGTATAGGAATAGTTGATAATGGAATAAATGTTTAAGCCATTAAGCTCCAGAGCTTCCCCATTTACAAGTAAACTCATCTGGCATTTGTCAAAAGAAGTAGGGTGCAGTGGGGTGCATTGTGGGTTAATGGGTTAAGGATCATCAGTGTGCTGATATCAAATCTGTAACTAGCTTTTCCTGTTGCAGATATAAAACACCAGATGATAGAAAAAAGGCATGTAATTGTGCATGTAATAATTGTTATTTGCACTTCTTTAGTTTCTTCTATTGATTCTTGGCATGAAAGGAGCAACATCGGACTATGCATGCATTTGGTGCAAAATACACAAACTATTAAGGTAACTCTGATACAATAAGCAATTGCTGTCTTGGGTAATTATGTACTGTATAGATTTAATTGATGGTGATTGTGCAAAATACAATTCATTTAGATGGGACATGTCCAAGGGCATGGATTACTGGGAAACACATCATCACAGAACAATTGAGGACATCAAAGCTTGTGCCATAAAATCTCTCTTCTTTTGCCAGCATTGGCCATTATTGGACATCAAGCTTGATAATGTGGTATTGGATGAGCAACATTTAATGCTTTGCATCACAGGTGATTAGATACAACATATATTACAATTCTTAAGGACTTATTAAAAATTATTAGGGGCTTATTAATTGTTGGGTTAACCCATTAAAAAAGCACAAGACACTCCCATTGACAAATAAAATCGTTTGACATTTTATACAGAAAAATAATAATGTAGGGGACATTGCTGCTTAATCAGTTAACTTGGAGCCTATAACCGATAGACATAGTCAGCGTTAAAA